GGTTAAATTTTTACAATAAATTTTACAAATGTGCTTATTTTCGGGTCCTATATAAATATGTTTGTGCTTATTTTCGGGATGTGCTTATTTTCGGTAAAATACGGTATTCATGATAATTCATATATTGTAATTGTATAAATAATGATACAAATTGTAAAAAAGAATATAGTCATTATAAATACTTTAGATTTTAAATATTTACAAAATATTTGTTAATTAAATAAATTTATTAATCATTATTATAAAAAATTGTTATAATTTTTTACAGAGCCCCATTTTACTAGTCCCATATATTATCACATTAATAAATATCGTTATTTATTTTATAATTTCATTTGAATTCTTATTACGCAAAAATTCATATGCATTTCATATACTACTTTGTTACAATAAGCAGATAATGGAGAAACAAAAAATTTCCTTATTTGCGATTGTCAACAAAGGTGTAACATTCCTTTATTGGATGTAGAATATGCTGATCGAAGAAAACCATAAATATTTAATAACAATCATAATAAAATATAAATTTTACTCTCGGCATTATCAAATTGAGTTAAAGATAAAATATGGCCTCGACTTACTTACGTCCGTTGGCAAACCCTAAACGGGTCAAGTTAGTGTCAACCTGTGACGTTTGCAAAAACCGTAAAGTCAAATGTGATAAAGAACGACCGGAATGCGGAACTTGTAAAAAAACAAATCGAAAATGTAGTTATACTTACGCGGCTTTTACAGAATCGATAAGAGAGAAACAGAATGGTTTAAGATCACAAGCGGATTCTAGTTTTCTTCAAACTCAATTAAATTATTTACAGAATGTACAGTTTGGACAATTATATGAAGAATCGGGTTTTTTATCGATGGCTTCAAGAAGTTTTGGTATAGAAGTTAACAATGGTCAAAATATTGCTGGAATGTTAGCGATGCCAACGACTTCAATGGCGGCCGATGTCAATAATTATGGTCTTGTAAGTGGATTATATTTATTAATTTATTGAATTGAAAAGATTTCAAAATTTTTCCTTTCACTTAAATAAATAGGACGCAACATCATTAATAACCACTGAGGTTCTTCAAAATTCCTCAAATGTTGCGGCTTCGATTCAGAGGGATGCTGAACAATGCCAAGTATGCATTTATTTTTACGCGACTTTTTAAATTAAATACGTTATTAAAAATAATAACGAATGTATTACCGAATTCAAATTTTTTTTTTTTGTAATCCGATAGTACGATCCTACATATTATTTAAATTGCACCGATTTTGCTGCATTATTACAAAGCCAACAATACCAATCTCAATCAGCAGAAACTCAATCGACAAACAAAATGCAATCACAACAAACTTCACAATATCAACAAAGTCAACCAAATCAACCAAATCAACAGATACAATACATTGATCAGGGAATGCATTCTGGGGATACTGTTGATGAACTCGCATCTAATATAGAAAATTTAAATCTTTACGAGTCAACAAGATATATTGGGGAAGGATCATTATTACTGTTAGATGATGATAACTTTGGAGAAATGATAATTCCTCAAACTCAACCAGATTTATCGCAAGTTAATGATTCATTAAAAATCCTGCCAAATATAGAGACAATTGAACAATTAATTGATTTATATTTTAAGGTATTGATTTATTTAAATTAATGCTAGTATAATTTTTGTAAAATAAGTAAATAACTTATTTTTTTCTTTTCTTAGCATGTTCATCGTTATTTTCCTGCATTAAAGCAACAGACTGTATGGAATTCTCTTAAAGATTTAAATAGACCGCAGCATCTGTTATTGTTAAATTGTATTTTTTTTACAGCTTCACCTTTTCATGAAGATCCAGACAAAAAAGATGGAAGAATATATTTTGACAGGGCTGAAGGTAATATTTTAAATTCATTATATGAAATAATTTTGTTTATTTAAGTTTAAAAATTCTAACCATTTTTGAATTTTTCTATGCCTTTAAAAGCTTTACTTTACGAATATTGTACATTGCCGCATGCTCTTACTGTTATGTCTATAATTATCCTGGGACATCACAATAAACAGGTACTTGAATTGACAATACATAAAGTTTAAAATACGCATATGATTCGTAATTATATAACATCTTTTGCTATGCTGAGATTATTTTTATCTTTAATAAGGAAAAGGTAATTTTTTCACCTTGTTAATCCAAATTTATAATTTGTTTCTTTTATATATTGTCTAAATTAATTTTTTTTTAATTTCAGCTATGATTGTCGAAAGAATATTTGGCTAGCAAAGCATGAAGATTTATATAAAGCACGATACAATTACTTCGAATTAACTGATAAATGATTTATTTTTTATAATAGACGGGAGCAAATTGGATGTACAGTGGCATTGCAACCAAAATGTTATTTGAACTTGGTTTACACCGCAAATTCAAGAATAAAATACGTGTTGAGGTGGAGCAATTAAGAAATGAAGCATTTTGGATGTGTTTTATTTCTGAAAAGTAATTAATTTCTTATTTTATTGAATTTAAGGATTATTTATTTATTTATTTAACTGATTAATTTTATTGAAGTTTCGTTTCAGCGACGTATGGACGTCCTAACATGATTGATGAAACAGATTGTGATGTCGATGTACCTAAAGTGATATTAAATCCATATCCAATGGATGAAAATGATCGACTTGAAATAGCTTACATTCATTTAATTAATCTTAGTAGGATCTGTGCTAGAGTACGTAAGTATCTGCACGCATCAAGACTAAGGGTTTTGGTACGAGATGACGAAAATAAATTTAGAATATTAGATGCTGCACTTGCAAATTGGTCTCATTCTTTACCAAGATGGTTAAGGTTTGAAGAAATTGCTAAGGATCCTGATGGTGCATTATTGAATGGAGTCGGCGGTAGGTTTATTTTAAGAAATTATTAATATTTACAACTGCATATTTTAAATTGAATATAACTAAGATTATTTCATTTAGGTGATTTACATATTTTTTTCCATACCGTCTTGATTCTTCTTCATATCAGACATTTAAAACCTCCAGAAGAGTATCAGATTCAAATATTAAATTCTCCTGTAATTTGCAAGCAATCTGCCACGATCATACTTCATTGTCTTGAAATATTACTAGAAAAACATCCGGATTTTTTTGCTCTGGCATTATCTGGTCCATTTGCGATTAGTCCAGCAATGAGGGTATTTTCTTGGCATGCAAAATATGAAGAAAATAAAAAAGCTACCGAAATGCTTAAACGTCTTGAAGATATAAAATCTAGGATTACGGAATTATCTAAAAATTATGATCGTGGTAGAATTGATGATGAGGGAAGAATGGACGGAGAACATGTATTTACAGAGTGGTTAGGAATTCCATCCCATCCTCGAAATAGGATGATCGATAATGATACGTCTAATCTAAGAGAATGGGAAGTTTTTATTGCTGATGATGATAGAAATTTAAGAAGACAATATAGTTGGATTGCAAGAAAACAATCTGGTGGACCCTTTATGCCTAGAAGAAAAACTTCAAGTTTTTCTAGGTCAATGAGCCTAAATAGTAATTCTTCAATTTACATGAAGGGTAAATCGTTTAGTTCTAGCTTTGATTTTATGAATTCAAGTCAAAATATGGAAGATCTTAATTTTACGTTTAAAACAGATAAAAATTTTGATTTTTCAGCCTTTTCGCAATTATCTGATCAAAATTTGAGTTTACCTCAGGTGACATTAGATGGTGTGCTTGTCGAAGAACCAGAACAATTCGATCAAGATCATAAACAATTTTGCGGAAATTCACAATATCATACTCCTTTACAACAATCTCCTCAATTGCAACCACAACAATTTAATTCCCCTTATCATTCACCGCTTCAACAGTCACCACAACTTCAAGCGTCAGATTATCATACGCCACTTAATCTTTCACCGCAACTTAATCCGCAAGGTTATATTTCACCTTTTCAACAATCGCCTCAAATACAACCGCAAGATTATGGTAATTCTTCACATTTGAACCAATTTGGTTCACCACATTTACAACCATATGATTCGCCGCAATACGATCCATCGCAGCAGCTTCAGCCTCAACAATTCCATTCGTCACAGCAACAAGATCAACAACCACAACTCTTTTCTCATGATGAACTTGATTTAAAACCGTCTTTTTTGGATACAAACTCATATACATTTATTACACCACAACAACAACATCAAGAACAGCAACAGTTTCTCGATCAAATTGATAAGAAAATCATTTTAGGTTCCAATAACAATAATAATAATTTAACTTGGACACCCCCACAATCAGCGAGGCCTGAACAATGGCATCAATCAAACAATCATAACCTTAATCATAATAATAACCATAATAATAATGATGACTCAAATCCCCTATCTCAATCATTAAACTCAATAACAAATATAAATACAATGTTAACGCCGCCAATGCAACCTTCAGATTTTTTTTCGGACGACGTAACAAGCGATGGATTTTGGAGCGTTTTACATAATGAAAATAATAATAATCATCTGGGAAATTCATCTATAATAAATGATAGTGGATTCTCAGATGGATTAAATGGTAATGAAAATGATTGTGACTTTAGTGAAGTAGGTTTAGGAATCTCTGTAGAGAATAAGAAGTAGTATAATTGTTTCTTATAAACCCCTTTATTTTCGGTGTATTTATTTATTTGTATGGTATTTTCTTTTTTTTAAAATGTTGTATAAAAAAAAATTTTTTTTTAAATTTCTTGATCGATTTGTATTTTTCTAACAAAAAAAAAAAAAGAAAAAAGAAAAAATCAAAGAACAAACAAAGAGAAAAAATAATTTCCAATTCACGCGAAAATTTTCCACGAAACAATTTTGATTTTATTTTATGATTATATATATATATAATCATGAATCAAAATTCGAAAATTTTGATATTAGCCGAAAATCTTAGTCGTTGCTGTTGCTACGTGTCATCAAAAAAAAGCGTCAAAAAAGTTGGTTAACTGAAAATATTTTGTTACATCACGATAGACCGTAAACCATGAATCGCTTTATTAGAAAATTAATAAAATACATCATTAAAATCAATATCTTATTTATTGCATTTAAATCTTAAAATGTTATAAAAATTTTCATCAAAATTAAATTTTTAAAAAAATTATTATTAGAATACCAATTTTTTTTATATAATAAATTTTATTTTATTAATCAAGCTTTTTATAATAAAACTAATACTGATTTTAATTCTTTTATATATAATTAATATCAATATATTAAAATTCATTTGTATCAAATTAGAATATTAAAAGAAATTAAAATATCAAAATTAGCTTTTTATTATATTTAAATTAATTTAATATTATATAAGCTAATCTTTAAATTAAATAAAAAACTTTTTTTTTAGAACTATAGTATAGAATTTTTATTATAAATAAGCTGAGTTTTTCATTATGTATTGATAGAAATTTAGAAAGTTAATTTTATAAGATAATAAAACTCTTTATTAAATCGTCTTATACAAACTAACTTGTTTTATATCAGTTGTGTTTAGTATTAAAAACCAGACTTAGTATTACCAACTTGCTTTATATTAACCATGCTTTATGTCAAAAAATTGCTTAAAGTCAACAAATTGTTTTGTATCATCAATTGTATCTAATAAGTTTAGTACTAATATTATGAAATTTTAGCTGTACATTATCATTGTAGTTACAATATATCTATTGTAATGTATCTATTGTAATATCATCCAAGTATTTCTCAAATATTAAGTAGAATTACAAGTTACACATAGTGGATTAGAAGTCTTTATACCTACTAATTCAAAAACTTAATCGTGAAAAATACTAATATCAACCAAAGTCAATCATAATTAAAGTCTCTTACAAATTATTGTAAAGATTAAGCTAAATCATGCTGCTACTCAATTGATTACGTATTTCAGTCTAACTAATTAATAGTTGGATAATAATATATACAGTGAACTCTTGATATAACGAATTCTAGGATCTGGATATCAACTTTGTTATAAGCTTATAACGAATTTTTT